GGCTGAGGGAGCTGGGGCTGTTTAGTCTGGAGAAGAGGAGGCTGAGGGGGGCCTTATTGCTCTCTACAACTGCCTGAAAGGAGGGTGCAGTGAGGGGGGTGTTGGTCTCTTCTCCCAGGTAACTGGTGATAGGATGAGAGGCAATGGCCTCAAGTTGTGCCAGGGAAGGTTCAGATTAGATATTAGGAAGAATGTCTTTACTAAAAGAGTGGTCAGGCATTGGACCAGGCTGCCCAGGGAGGTGGTGGAGTCCTCATCCCTGGGGGTGTTCAGAAAACGTGTAGATGTGGCACTTCAGGACATGGTTTAGCAGGCACGGTGGTGTTGGGGTGATGGTTGGGCCTGATGATCTTAGAGGTCTTTTCCAACCTTAATGCTTCTGTGATTTGGGAGTTGGACTAGATGACCCACAGAGGTCCCTTCCAACCCCGAACATTCTGTGATTCTGTGATTCTGTGATGATTCTATAAACATGGCAGCTGTAGAACCAGCAAGACCTCCTGGGACCTCCTGCTGCGGAAGACTGGGTGGGATGGTGGCGTTCGTTAATGGGTGTCTTGGGGATGTTGGAGGGGTACTGACAAATGTTGACATTTTTTGCTGTAATTTCTGCAGATTCCACTGAGTGTTTGCATCTTAGGACCACAGGATGGAGATGAGTGTCCAGCGGAGGGCTACGAGGATAGTGAGGGGACTGGAGCATCTCTCCTATGAGGAGAGGCTGAGCGAGCTGGGCTTGTTCAGCCTGAAGAACAGAAGGCTGCGAGGGGACCTAATATATACTTACAAATATCTGAAGGGTGGGTGTCAGGAGGATGGGGCCAGACTCTTTTTCGCGATTCCCAGTGACAGGACAAGGGGCAATGGGCACAAACTGAAGCATAGGATGTTCCGTCTGAACATGAGGAAGAATTTCTTCCCTCTGAGGGTGACGGAGCACTGGAAGAGGCTGCCCAGGGAGGTTGTGGACTCTTGTTCTCTGGAGATGTTCAAGACCTGCCTGGACAAGGTCCTGTGCAGCCTGCTGTAGGTGCAGGGGGGTTGGACTAGATGACCCACAGAGGTCCCTTCCAACCCCTACCATTCTGTGATTCTGTGATGAGGACCGCGCTGAGAAAACCCATCACTGACACTAAGCTGGGATTTATCATCAACGGAGAGGCCAGTTGTGTTATGCAGAAAGAACGAGCTTACTCTGAGGCCGAGAGTGACTGGCATGGGATGAAATTCAGTGCTACAGGGCTTGGGGTCACACACTTGGGAACCCGTAAGATCATTTATTCAGTGGGAGCTCATCATTTGGAAACGGTTGTGGAGAAGACCTTGGGTGTCTTCGCTGGTTCCACAAAGGCAGCCTGTAATGTGTATGATGTGTCCAAGAAACAAAAAGACATAGGTGGTTTTAAGAGGTGATTTTAAAATTAAAATGTGATTTTAAAATTCAAAGTATTTTAGGGATATACAGGTACATTCACAGCTCATCTTGATTGTCGCTTCTGGTCACCCACATTCAAGAAGCCAAACTAAAAGAGGGGCAGAGAGAAACAGAGCACAGAATGGAGACTGTTACGAGGGATGAGAGGAGCATTGTTCCCTGAGTCTAGCAAAACAAATACGAGAGCACCTGTGACTGCAGTCTCTAGAGGATGGGCGTTTTGCAACCTGAGAAGGCAAAAAGCTAGGTAAGGTGGAGAACTACGCTGGCACTACAGCAAACGAGTGCGCACTGAACAGGAGCAGCTTTGAGCCAGAAATGAAGGAGTGGTTACTGCCACCAGAGGAGTGGGGCTGTGGAACAGCCCTGCCGTAGAAGCCACACAGGTAAAATCTGGGTTCTTTTTTTAAGAGGGAGCTTAGGAGGCTTCTCAAAGGGGTTATATGATGTCTCTGCCTAGGTTACTACAGGGATGGATCTGGGGAGATGTGTCCCTCTCCATCTGTGTTTCTGCTGAACTCCAAAGCTCTCCTTTGCCAGCTACTGGTACAACGCATAGTAAATCTTTCTAGTTTGAGATGCACAACTCTCTGCCCCA